CAAGTAAAAATTTGTTGGATCAGAATTACTTCAAAGTTGAGTTTGTGCTGTTTCCTCAACTTTAGATGTTTTCACTGGCTTTTCGCCCCAACGTGCTCTACAGCAGATCGTGCAAATCCCATAGAAATACTCCAAACAGTGTTATACGTCTTAGCAATATTGAATATTCAGTGATTTTGCTCAGCCCCAACTCTTGGATACGGTTTCAATAAAGAATATTATTATACATCTGTCACTGTAACGTCATAAGTTACAGCGTGCCGTAATCTTGCGGTATTTTACGGGGTATTTTCATCCTATTATATTAGGAAATGCAAACTCCAAATATGGAATGATTACGTGCGTAAGCGTCCTCTAATAATAATAATAATAATTATAATAATAATAATAACAAACATGGCTGCCACCAGGGTTTGACCGGACTCCACACAAAGAAGTTCGCTGATTCTGTTCTAAACTTTTTGGATTTTGGCATTCCCAGGATGTATCCTTGGGCGGCAAAGATGTATAATAATAAGGTTATTACGAGATTACCTCAAAGTATGCATGATGAAAGTACGTCGTCGCATTGACCTCTGCTGCCCGATGGTCGATACTCCCGGTGTACTGTCTTTGTGCATACTTTGAGGTATTCTCGTAATAACCTTATATTATTATTATTACACTTTGTGGTTAATATGACTCAATGAATCACATTATGCAATGCCAAAGTTTTCCATAAGATGCTATTTGTGATAATGCGTGTTAATTTATTCTTTGTTTGGGAGAGTTTTTATTCAGAAAATTGACACTATCACTATAAAAGTGACAAGATATTCTAAGCTTTTTAGTTTTCGTTGCATATTTATTGGCTGTTTGGGAAATGGAATCTTTTTAAATCCCTGTCATCTGTTAAACATTGGCTTCATATAATGTTCTAAAATATTATGTCAAATTATGAGGAATGTTTAATGTCTGTTTTCTCATTGATCAATCACTAAGCAAGTAGCAATGACTTTTATATGCAAGATTATGTCATACACAAATGTATTAATTTCATGTATGGCACCCTCTAGTGTTCAATGCAAAGAAAACTTTTGTTGTTTTTGCTTCAACATGACAGTTTAAAGTATGATACGCTTGTTTAAATATTAGTTATAATTCAAGAAAAATCTTGAAAAAAATATCCAATATAATGCAGTTAAATATTCCATATTACTGCATTTACTCACTTTTGGGTAAAATGTTTGGTTTTGAGACACTTTGATTTTCACGATGAAATGTCATTTTTAATATAAAAATATCACATAGATATATGTTTATTTACAACACTGGCTCCAGAGAGATCAGCAGTAAGGTCACTAAAATTACATAACAACAAAGTAAGGGTAACAAAATAACCAAACAAAAAGAAACATATGATAATTTTGTTTTTAAATGTGATTTGCTCTCTTCATATAATGATTTAATGTTGCTGCCTTGTAGAAATGTTGCATTTTATAAATTTATCTTTTTCAGTAATTTAGTATTTTCATCTTTCATAAAACTAGATGGATGGATTTTGAAGCTTTTTCATATAGTC